ATAATTGTGATTCATTGACATTGAACGGCTACTGTTGTATAGACTGTTATTTTTTAAAATTTGACAATCTAAGGGAAAGAAGTCAGTGCCCCTGACTAAAATGTCAGGTATCGCATGTTTTTTTGTTTTTTGTTTTTTGGTATTGCATGTTTTAAAAATTCTCGCAGCACACTGGTTGAAAATCACTGTCTAACAGGATTACAGAGTCTTAAGTATCAAAGGGCAGCTCTAGGCTGTGAGCGCCTCTGGGAGCAGAGACCATGTATTTTCCCTTCTGCCTCTTTCATTCCTAGCTCCCACACCACCCTCCCCACCCCTCTGCCTGGTGCAGGGTTGGTACTTACCAAGTGCCGGGGAAGACCGAAAAAGGCAGATATCCAAACAGCCTGAGGCGAAGCTCTCCTGGGCAGAGGTTTGAAATCAGCAGTAAACTCTAGACTACAGTAAACCCTAGACTTTGCGGACCTCGATTTAATGGACTTTAGATTTAACAGACAAAATTTCTGGTCCGTGTGTCATTTGTGAAAGTGAATACCCTGTTAATTTAAAAATACTTTTAACCAAGATTTGCTTATAATGAAATTAACAGGTTTTTCTTTGTTATTAATTCACTGTTATTTTTAACATTTTAGCGAATAGGCCATATGTTGGAGGAAACACTGTAGTAATTTCACCAACATAAATAAATATTACATAGCCACATCTATTCTAAGTATTTAAATCCAAGAGTCACCGCTGGCAATGTTCAGCCACTGTTTAGCACGTGATCACACCGCAGCGTGCACTCGGTAATTGGTTCTTTTGTCACGTGGCTGACTTTCTGCAGGAGTCTTAACACGTGCTGGTCAGCCGATGTTCACACGTGCACTAAGCTAAACATGCCCCAGCCGTGTGCAGCTGTTTACTGGAGGTAACTGATGAATTCACTCATTTACTAGACCCATTCAGTATAAAATCATCGTAATACATATAGAAAATTTTCCTGTGAAATTAAACTTCATACATACTTGATTTTAATTGCACAAAAGTGTCTACAGGTAAACTAATTTATCAATTTTTTAACACATGCATTTGGAAAACCTACTTTGTTATATAACAGACTTTTGGCTTTAACAGACGCCTCCTCGCTCGAGTTAGTCTGTTACATTGCACCCCTCCTTGACCAGCTTCTGTCTCCATGGGCAGCCCTCTTACAGTACTGAAACACCCCACATTTCCTTTTCGAACCATCTGGCAATATCCTTCATCCCACTGTGGTAGACAGAGGGCTCCTCCAACATGTCCGTGCCCTTATCCCTGGAACCTATAAGCATGTTATGTCACATGACACCAGGGACTTTGCAGATGTAATTAAGGTGATACAACTTAGGATAGTGAATCCGGGGTTATCTGGATGGTCCCATCTAACCACATGTACCCGTACAAGCAGAGAACTTCTGGCTGGAGTCAGAGATGCGGGAGAAGTCAGAGAGATTCAATGACTGAGGGGCACTTGACGCACAAGTGCAGGAGGGGGCCACGGGGAAAACACAAGAAGAAATGTGCAAAGTCTCTAAGAGTAAAGACTGCCCCCACCACCTTCCCAGCTGACAGCCAGCGAGGAGATGGGACCTCAGTTCTATAGTTTCAACCAACAGCCTGAGGGAGCCGGGAAGCAGATTCTTTGGGGAGCCTTGGGTAAGGAAGGCTGTTCGGCTGATGTCACGATTCCACCCTCAGGAGGCTGAAAGGACCCAGCTGAGTCTCCCTGGACTTGTGACTGACAGCAAAACTGTGATGATAAAGTGTGGTCTGAAGCCACGATGTGGGGATTTGTGATGCGGAGACAGTGAACCCGTGCACCCTCTGCCGGGTGGTCTAGAGCAAGCAGTTCCAAGCGTGGCTCCCAAAGGTCCTGAACCTTTCAAGGAGTCTACGAGGTAAAAACACAAAGCTGTCACTTGCCTGTGTCACTGGGCTGACGTTTGCACTAATGGTGCAAAAGCAATGGTGGGTCAGACTGCTGGAGTCTCCACTGCCTTTCAGAAGGTGGCACCAGCGGTCATTTATTTCTCACTGTCACCCCCTCGCAGGAAATGACACGCAGTGTCACCTAAGGGTGTTCTTGGTAGAGCAGAACAATTATACATGTTGTTAAATCTTGGCTCTCACGCCTTTTTCAGAGGCTGGGTGACAAGGTGCAAAACACCCAGAAAGTGCCTCTGCTGGTTCCAGCTGAGATGGTGGCCTCCAGGAAACGTCTATGTGCCCAAGTTAGCTGGTTCTCCTCCCCCCCCCCCCCACACCCCATTTCTACTTGACAAGAAGACAGATAAACAAGTTATTCAGATGTGTATTTAGGAGATATTTTCTTGAAAATGAAGTCGAGCCTGTCACTTCAAGCAAAACAACTGACAGTGTTTGTTGCCAAGGATAACACTTGAGTTTTCTAACAAACGAGAAGTTTGGAAAACCTGAATCTGCCACCTTCATGTGACAGATTCTCAATACTTCAAGACTGTGTGGTGAGGTTGGCAGTGATATTAAACAGCAAAAATGTGATGTTTCTTATATTGTAAAGCAAAGTGTATGAGCATTTAGAATATCTGAATAACTGAGTGGATCAACATTTTCCAAACGACCAGTGCATAATATTATAGAGTCATGCATGGCAAAAGAACCATTGAAAATGCCAGGAAAGGTTTACTGATATGATTGCATATTTCTAAAGCTAAGCTTTAAGAAACTACCCCTTCTTAACTTTTGGTGTGGTAAAAAGAATAAGCACAGTTATCTAAGAAAGCTAAAAATACTCCTCCTCTTATCAGCTATGTTGCCATGTGAGGCTAGATTTTTTTTTTCATTGTACTTCAACCAAAACATCATTTCACAATAGGTTGAATGCAGAGGCAGCTATGAGAATCCAGCTGTCTTTTATTAAGCAAGACACACTGAACTTCTCGATCTCAGTATTTTTTTTGGTTTTGAACATTTAGATTTAAAAAGTTATTTTTATTTTTTAATTAAACTTATTGAGGTGACATGGGTTAATAGGATCATATAGTTTTCAGGTGGAAAAATATAGTTTTTTAAAATAAAAAATATTTTATTTATGTTAACACATTATGGGTTTATCATTGTTATTTAAATAAACTGGTAATATGTTACATTTGCAGTTTCAGTTTCTAATACAAGTATCAATAGACATATACCACAGACATAAAATCTGTGTTGTCCTCAAGAATTTAGTCTATGGTATCTATTGAAGCCTAGTGGTGGGCAGGCCATGGATATAGTAAGTCAGTGGTTCCAAATTTGCACTCCAGAGCTAATGTAAGCCCAGAGATATTTTTCATTTTGTAGTGTCTACAACATTTGTAGTGTCTACAAACTGTTTAATTTTGAATGAGTTTTCCATATTTACAAATTGGTGGGTTTTGTGACAAATATCAGATTATTCAATTCTCTTGAAAAATAGGATGAACTGTCTGCATTGGGCCCACATTTGTGCATGACCCCTGGAGCTGGGTGGCAGCTGCCTTCTTTTGGGCACACACTTTCCAGTTTCCCTCCCTCCTCACCACACTCTACTCTTCGTGTCCCTTTGTTTGAACCTGTTCCTCCTCGGATGTTCACATGGCTTGCTCAGCTCCTGGGAGCGTCTGTATTGGGGATGTCCGATCTACATGGCCTCTTTGGTGGCAAGAAGCTGGGAAGACCTAGTTGTATCCTGAGACTCTTCTACAACTCCCAGGGGGACGCTGTACATCACAACATGCCAAGACCCACAAGAAAAAGCTGATATCACCAGACGAGAAGAAATTTCTGAAATAAAGGCAAAGGTCATATTTTAAGTCACATTCTCTCAAATCTCTTAAGAATCTGCTGCTTGATACCGCAATGGATGGATATAGTACCATCAACTATATACAAAATGAGTATGAGCTCAGGAGCCACAGTGTCTATGCCTTTTAATAGCTGTGTGACCTTAGGTTAGTTACCCAACCTCTCTGTGTCTTAGTTTCCTTATCTGCAAAATGAGGCTACGACTACTACCTTCCTTTTAGGGCTGTTGGGAGGATTAAATGAGATAGTATGTGACAAGCATTTAAAACAGTGGATGGCATACAGTAAGCCCTTATTTTTATTATTCTTTTGAGCTGGGGTTCGGTCTGGCTATGAAAAAGGTGGTCAACTCTCATAAGGTTCTGCTAGGCAAACTGAACTCTGTCTCTGTCACTCCCTCTCACAGATCCCAGAAAGTCCTGACATGAATGTAACAGATCTCAACAGATATTTGAGGATGGCATGGTACATCATTTTGATTGACAGCCACAGTCACTCAATCTACTTGTTAAAACAGCGATTGCTCATGAGGCATATAAATAAGTCCATTCATTCATTCATTCATTCATGCATTCATTCATTTGATTAGTCATCTCTTTATTCATTAAATATCTATTGAGTGCTTACTTTGTTCCAGGCACACAGACAAAGAAACTCCTGTCCTGGTTTGGGGCTAGAGAAACAACTGCCAGATATTTCTGTAGGACAGAACCTAAATATTGTCTATTAAGAACAATGATCCATGTTTTTTGGGACCATGAAAGAGCTTGTCCTAATGAAGAGCTTGCCCTTCATAAAATAAATCGCCGGTAAAAAAAAAAAAAAAAAAAAAAAGCCTTGAAAAGAGAAACAAGACCATAACTCTTAAAAAAAATTCTGTAAGTACCCAATTTATTCATAAAACAATACAGTTTAAATATTTATGATTTTTTTTTTCAGTCATACATTTTCCCCATCATTCCCAAAATGTTGTGCATTTGGCTGACATGTATTTGCAAGGTTAGAATCTATAATTATAACACTGGAAATGATACAAAGTCTATTTGATTTGCTTGTTAATAGGTCCCCCCCCTCAACAAACAAACAACATACAGATCTATTTCACCTTGCGATTTACTTCTCTATCTCGCTGACCATCTTGTGCCTTTTATGCTGCAAAACAATTGTTCATTTCCCTGTGAGAAGATTATATAAGTGAGACATTCATTCTTCTGGTTCAAAACTGGCCATTTTATATCAAAACAAAACACCACCACCTAAAACAATGATCCTAGGCATTTCTGCTGATCAAGTTTGCTCTCAGGAGTGATTAAAAAGAGGCAAAAAGAAACCCCACACTCAGCTTAAAAATCAACTCGGTGGGCCACATTTCTGGGGAGCGACACCGCACAGCCCCTTGCCACGGCCAAGTCTCCATTGTCACGGTTCTACTGAAGACTTTTCGAGGTCATTCTTTGGGGTTGATGTAAACATGGCATCATTCATGCAAGGAGAGAGATGCCTCCTTTAAGAGGGTAGGAGCCGGCCAGGGGAATACTCCCTCATCTGTTTAAGGAAGAGGTGGGACTACAAAGCAGTGAGGCTGATGTGGGGTGTGCAGCTTCTGGAATCAGTCTCACTACTTTCTACTCCCTCCTCAGAGACAGGCAACCTTTGTGCTACTGATGGGGAAGAGGTGCCATTCTCAAGCAGACTAGGGTCCGCCCTGGTTCAGATGGTCTCTACAATCACACCCTAAAGTCCAGAACCTCAGTACTCTCAGTGCAATATGAGGACTGCACTGGCATGCCCTGAGACAAGCATGTCAAACTCGCGGCCTGTGGGCCGCATGCCTCGTTTATTTAGCCCGTGTTAGCCTTGGAGTTTGACATGCTTGCCCTGGGACCTTGTCAGAGCGGCAGAATCTTGGGCCTATGCATACCTATGGCATCATGGTCCCAATTTTGGCAAGATCCCCAGCAAAGTGTGAGAGGTGCTGGGCTAAGTTCCCAGACCCCCCATCAAGAAGACTACTCCTAGGTGACTACGTCTCTTCATCAGCAGAGAGACCATTCTCAGCAGGGATGAATTATAGATAACAACTGCAAAAACAGTGTGGGCGTTGTGTTTTGTTTTATTTTGTTTTTTAAACATGCAAAATACAGTCCATGCATCTACCATTTTGAAAAGTCTCTCATCCTGTAGCAGATAAAACCAAATATGTTTTGGCTATCAACGTTCAGTAGTTGTTTCAAAATGCTTTACAGTGTAAAGATAATAAGAAATTTAGCAAAATTTCAACAAACCTGTATAAAAAACAGATACAGATACCATTTTATTTCAAGTCGACATGCTGTAATGTAAAGAGTAAGTTGAAATTATTTGTGTGTCTTTGTAAAAAGTCTTTAACAATACAGGGCTTACCAGATCCAGGCCTTAGGGCTACACATGCAAAAAAGAAAAAAAATGGCCAGTTAGTTAAAAATCACCAAAACGTGCTAGTTTTTTTTTAAATGTGTGGCTTTTTAAAGTACAGGAGCAGTAGAAGTAGTAAGTAGTAGCAGGAGTAGTATTTCGGAACTCTGTAAAAGTGCGTGGAGTTCATGGTGCTAGTGTCCTGGAAGACTCATACATTTCTGATGAACATTTTGGCTTAATCCCTTTGCCGTTGTAATAGTCCACGACTTGGTTTGGGACTTCAGCCAACACGCTCTTTGCCAGGGCAGCTGGAGATGCCTGCAGGGAAGAAGAAATCACCATGACTTTGGCAGCTGGCCAGAGGAAGCTGAGAATCAGCCTCAAAGGCTTGAGTCCTGTTCTGAGCAGCTAGTCTCTCTCATTCATTCATTCATTCATTCATTCATTCAGCATTTGACAAGGGCCTCCAAGCAAGAGTTGTCAGGTTGTTGGAACCTGAGCCATGAACTCCGTAATTTTATTTTTGCATGCCTGTCTCAAAATATCAAACTATTCACATCTGAAATATGGGTGAAAATCAGGTGGCAGAATGAACTGTCTTACACTTTTGTTTCTATTTATATTCAATTCTAGACACTTACTTATGTTCCAGGCACTGTGCTAGGGTTTATTATTCTTTTTTTAAAATATATTTTGATTTTTTTTACAGAGAGGAAGGGAGACAGCCAATGTTTCTCTCTCACATTGATGTCTCTCTCTCTTCCTATCCCTCTAAAATCAAATTTAAAAATAATAAGATGATTCTTTACATCTTGGAGATGTTATAGCCTGTTGGACATTTGACATCCATGAATGCTCTTTTATTTTATAAATAACTGCGCAGGGTTGTGTGTTGCTCATGATCCATGTGTATACTGGGGTATATAAAAAGTCATTTCTACCCCTTCTCTCTGGCCACCTCTCGTAGAAAAGCTACAAAGCCAAATACATGATTTCCTAGCCTCCCTTCCATCTAGGGAGGTCCATGTGATCCAACTTCATCTTTGAGACAGAAATTGCTTTCCTGGGGGATGCTGGGAAGCTTTTCTTCTTGGTAAAAGGGGACAGACATGGTTGGCTCTGTGTCCCTTTCCTCTTCCTCTTTGCCCTGAACAGGAATGTGATTCCTGGAGCTATGGCAACCATTTTATCACCAGGGGAATTGCCAAGGGCTGGCCCTGACACTATCACATCACTGAAAAAAACAGATGTCAGCAGCCCCCACTCCCTAACTTCTAGCTACACGAGAAAAATATGTTTGTACTTAATCCAGGGTTCCCCAGCTTTAGCTCTACTGCTGTTTTGGGCCAGATAATCTTTGGGGCACTGTCCTGTGCATCGTAGGATGTTTACCAACATCCCTGGCCTCTACCCACTAGATGTGAATTAGACACTCCACACTGTCACCATTAAAAACGTCTCCAGATATTGCCAAGTGTGCCCCAGGGAATGAGTCACCCTTGGTTAAGAACCATTCATGTAATCCACTGTAAGATGGATTTGCTGTTATTTGGAGACAAAAACTTTTCTAAATAGTGCTGTCAAATAGAACTTGTTACCATGATGGGAAGTCCAATATGGTAGTCACTAGATACACGCAATTAATATTAAACCCTTGAAACGTGGCTCGTGCAACTGAAGAGGTCATTTTAAAATGTTATTTAATTGTAATGATTTAAACGTAAATGCCCACATGTGGCTATTTGCTACTGCGTGGGGCAGCACAGAGATTAAGTGATTCTCCCACGTGTGCTGGTGGGTCTGGTGAGCAAATAGGGGCTGGGGGGCATTAGTTGGTTAGGAAAAGGCCAAGAATGTGAAAGCAGCTGGTATTAACAGCTGTATTTATTAGTCACCTACTCAGAGCAGGCACTGTGCTAAGCTTTAATCTTCCAATGCGCATGTCATTTGGCTCATTGTTCTGATGAAAACCTGTGGCACAGAGGGGTTAAAGGACTTGCCCAGAATCACACAGCTAGGAGCCAGTGCCCTGTCCACTTCAAAGCCCTGAGTTACCATGCAGAGCAGGGCAAGAGAGACGGATCCTGGGTTACGGGCTAATATGAAGTATATCAGTTCCTCACTTTTCATTTTATTTATGGCTTATTGAATTCAGTGTCGTCTGGGTAATGAAATGGTTTTCAAAATCTAATTTGAAATCCATGAAGATAAGGTGGATGATATGCTCCTGGCATTCTGAGCAGCTGGAGACTGTGCAGCACACACGGCGAGTGTGCCACTTTCTCGCCCAATCAGGGCAGGTCCCTCGGCTGATGCCCCTCCACTCCCGGCTTACCAAGGCTCTGTCCTTCCTCATACACCCCGCTCGAGCTGCAGGGATTTCCTCATGGCGACTTCTCTCTGCTCGGAAGTCCCGTAGCAACATTTTAGCCCCTTTCAGTCACCCACAGATGGACCCACAACTTTCTCACCTTGCTGTGGCCCCAGTGCTAGCACATGCCTTGCACACAGTAGGCACTCTGTGAGAGGAGGAAGCTCAGGGTAGAGGCTAGACTAGAACCTAGCCTGGCTCATCTGCATTGTTTCAGCACACGTGTGTGTGTGTGTGTGTGTGTGTGCGTGTGGCAGGGGGAAGGTGGTTTGGGGCAGTGCATGACTCTCCCAGGGAGTAAGTTCTTTGACCCTTCACTCAGGCAGCTATAGGTGGTGGTCAGTGATATGGCTACCCTGTCCTGCTGACCAGATGGAGCAGGACATCACAACCTGGAAGAGCACCCCTCTCCCCACCGTGGGCATCAGGCAGGTAAGTAGCCTCATTGATGACACAGCCGCAGTGCATTCAGCCGGCCCCAGCACATCCTTCAAGAAAAGGACAGCACTCCTCGCTGTCCACGTGCAGACAACCGAGGACACGGTGAGCCTCTTTCATCTGACGAGCGGTTTCGTTTGGAAACCTCCTCCTCGGGCGGGAGGAAGACGGGCTACAGTGGAACGGTCACCCCTCACCATGCTCCCTGCCTGTGAGCCTGGGGGCTGCTACTTGGAACTCCCTCTGCACTCAACTCTGTAGTCAAGGATTGAGCTTTTGCTCCTTTAATGATTCTAATTACACTATAGCCCTCCTTAAGAGCGGCATTAGAATTGTGTGGCGCTGGGTGTCTAAGCTATACCTCATTGTTCAAGGAGCCCTGGAGTGAGCGGTGACCTCCCTACATGGAACTGGCAACTCATGAGATCTGGGGTTCAGTGAAGGCCACTGGGCTTGTCATATACCTGACGCTGGCTTTAACTCCTGTCCCAAGACGGCAGCAGAACACCAGGCAATTTCTGCAAAGCACAGGCCAAAGGCTCTGACACTGGCACTGGGACTTGTCTATGTAAACAACTGTCCATCCATCCTTCACCCCCTATAGTCACCTTGCCCAGTGTAGCTGGGGTCCCAGCGTGGGCTCCAAGTGGGATTCCCAGGTGCCTGGACGTATCCGATAAACCCCTTTGAATGAGGGGTTTTGACTGGAGTAGAAAGGCTTTTCCAAAAAAGCGTTAGGAAGGAAAGCTTAGAGTGGATGGCGTGGAGCTTGTCCCTTCCTCTCTGGGTCCCTAGCTTACTGACCTCAGCCCTGAGGATTGAGGAGCTGCAGTGGAAGCTACAGATGTTTCCAGCAGGGACCCTTGACATGTAGGGATCAGACTTCACTGCAGTGACGGCCCAGGTGATAGAGGGGTCACAGCAGCAGGCACAGGAGGGGATTCTCACAGTTTCCAAGGGGACTATGGAGTTGCTTCAGGGCACTGAGCATTCTGGAGATTCCCTCTTGTGGGGCAGCTCAAGTTCAGTTGCCACCCACTGGGAGGGGTATTGCTGGCCCCACCAGAGGTGGAGAGGGCAAAGCCACAGGGGCTATGGGGGTGGGGATGCTCTGCTCTTGAGTGACTTTCCCTGGGGCAAGGAACAGAAGGTCACAGAGGACTGTCTGTGACAGCCCACATGACCCTCAAGGGCTCCCAGACACAGCTGGGGAGGCTCTGAAGGGTTCTTCAGGGCCACCGCCAGGCTGGAGGGAGCCTTTGCTTGAATTAGAAGTGTCCTGGGTCATTCAGCCCCACAGGTGTAGGCTGCTATTGGAATTTTAAAGATGCCCCTCCTTCCACTGAGTTAACAATGATCCAACAGTTGAAATGCCAAAACATTGTTATTAAGCCCTTTTCGATGTCATACTAGAGCACTGTCTACTGCGTCTGTTTCGGGTCATCAGGGGGAGGTAATGCTGCTTGACATTATTTATTATTGATTATAGCTCAAGCCTGTAAAGCTAGATGTCAACTTGTGGAAAACTGGGAAGATTTCTGTCCAGTGGAGAAGGTAATCCAAAATCTATTTATTTATTTTTAACCCTTTTGGCCATTCCCTAGTTTTGAACCTGCCCTAGCAAACGTACTCCAGCCTTTTCCCCACTGACCATAGTCAACTATGTTATATCCTCCTTTGAGCTACCTTTGTCATCTTACTGGTTCCATCCTTAAGGAGTTAACTAAATTCCTTGGTGCTGCTTACCATACTTATAGAGGATTTAGGTCTCTATCAACTTGAAAATATGCTTTGCCAAGGCAAACACGGGCCTCTGCCAGGGAACAGGGCTCGACAGGCAGAACCCAGGCCGAATTGAAGCTGCCCCTTGCTTCTCTAGCCAGACCCTTGCACAGGGAACACTCTGTCCACCTGTACATGGCACCCCTGACCGAGGTCCTAAGCTATATGGATGGGACAAGTGCCAGTGAAATGTTGGCTGCTATAGCTGGCAAGACTTCTCATCTCTAATTCAAGTTACACTTTTATCTCCAAAGAGCCAAGCTCTCCATCTCCTGTGGGGGAGATGGCCTGGCCTAGGCAGGCAGGGATAGCGGCGTTGCTTCCCTACCAACTGGTGGAAACACGTAAGGAGTGCGTTTGTTTTGGTCCTGCCCTCCCATGGGAAGCCGCGAGATATGCGTACGTGTTTGAAGTTCCTGAAGGGCACGAACTGAACGATGTCTCGAAGGACAGGCTCTCCCTTGGGTGACCTCAGGATCCCGTCGTCGCCGTCCAGCATCTGCATGTCACTGAAGTCAGCGTTGCCCACTCCCACGATGATGACCGACATGGGGAGGTGGGAGGCGTGGACGATGGCCTCCCGGGTGTCGGCCATGTCTGTGATGACGCCGTCGGTCAGAATCAGCAGGATGAAGTATTGCTGCAATGGATCAGACGCCAGGTAACCGGGGACGAGAGAGGTGGGGTGACAAAGACAAGATCAGGTGCCTGCAGGGCATACTGGCTACAGCAACAGCGACAACAGATTCTTTTGAGTGCCAGTGTGTAGACAGTCCTCAAAACCTAAGGGTACGATGAATGGCACTGAAAGGCAGGCACAGTAGTTGTAGGTTAATTCTAATAATCACCTTAGTGACTGTTATGAAGCAGTGTGGTTGACGGAGCAGCAAGGAGGAATTAGGAGGACGGGCATCAAAGCCTCATTTTCTGAGATCCTGGGAAAATCCCTTCACTCCTCTGGGTTTCAGCTTCATCTCTCAGATGAGGGTTGGGACTAGATTGCTTGTAATTGCCTCTTCCGCTTGGAGATATTTAAGTCTAAAGGTGCACTGCCCAAGACAATAGCCATGAGCTCCATGTGACTGCTGAGCCCTTGAAATGTGACTAGAGCAATGGAGGAACTGAATTTTACATTTTAATTTCTTTTAACAAAGATCAAGTATTTGCGATGCTAATTTAGCATCCAAATTAAGATGATCTAAGTGTCAAGTACACACTGGATTTTGAAGGCATAGTGTAAAAAAAGAGTGTAAAATATTTTATTAACAATTTTTTATATGCATGTTAAAATGCGATTATTTTGTGCATTTAAAAATACTTCTGAGAAGGGGGCCCCTGGGCTTCATCAGCTGCTAATGGGGCCCCTGGAACAAAAAAGGTTAAGAACACTTGATCTGAAGGGATTATCAGGATTCTAGAATCTGATCCCGAGTTAATCTAGCCAGAGGTACTAGGCTGCAGACTGTCGGATCAAAGGCCTGATGCAAATTTCCAATAAAGCTACTGTGACAGTTGCTCCCAAAGGCAGGCCAGGGAAATGCTCACGGATGAAAGAGTATAGTCGTCTTTGAATGTATATGAGGTCCTGTTGGAGGGTATTTTTTGTTTTTTAAAATTTCTAGAAGAGTTTCACCAAGTCGAGAAGAAAATCCTACATCCAGACCCTGACACAACTTGCCTATAAGGTTCAAATTTAAGCCCCTTAGCTATCAGTGATAACACGGGGTGCAGGACCACACATTGTTTAAAGAACAGGAGAAACCGCTGGGGAAAAGAACCATGGTTCCTGGACCATAAGGGTCAGTTGTTTGGGGATCTGTGGATTAGACATTCTTGCACCATTTCCTGACCTGTTCTTACAGAGCAGACTACCTGTCCCTGGGGGAGTGAGTGATGGGCAGAACTCATGCTGGCTTATACCAGGCCTCAGTCCAGACCTATGTCAGCCCTGTTCCCTTTTTTCTCTTCTAGTTCCTGGTACCCCAGAGGGGCCGAGATGATTTGTGTTTTCAATATGGGCTCTGGGGTGCCCTGGGGACACCTTGGATGCTCTTGGGGATAAACGGGGAGAAGGACAAAAGTTTGCACCCCATCTCTTAGTCCAGATTTACCAAGAACAATCTGTTTTCTTAAAATCTATTTTACTGGTATATGTTGGGTTTCTGAGTAACATATCATTTGAAGAATTTGAATTTGAAGTTCTGATGAGAAAAAAAATGTTAAAACATAAAATGAAATACTGATCCTATCTAAGACTTATCCTCAAATCTTGTGTCTGTGAGGATTCAAATTTGCTCCAAGGCCTTAGTGGGTTTGGCAAAAATGGAGATACTGTTGATTGACAAGCGTAGTTTCAGAGGGATGCTGGGGAGGAAAGTCTGACTGGTAAAGGTAGAGGAACCAAGGGGAGGGGAGATGAAGACAGAGAGTATAGGCAAATTTCTAAATGAATTTTGCTCTAAAGGGAGGTAAAATAGGGGAAGTAGATAGACTAAAGTGGTGTCAAGGGAAAGATTTTTAACTTAAACAAAAGATATTATAGGATGTGTCATTTGCTAATGAAAATAAGTCTTCAGTAGAAAGGGGAAAAAAACAGGTGAGAGACAGGAGCGAAAGTTGGTAGGTCAATGTCCTTGGATGGTTCAGAGGAGATGGCTCCAGTATGCAAAAGAAGAGGCTGGATTAGATATGAACATGGTCCTCCATCCATTCTACCATGAGGGAAGGCTGAGAACATGAGGCAGCACAAATAGGTTAGCGGAGTTGATGTAAGAAGCTGAGAGAGTAGTATATCACGTTCTCTTTGCAAATGCAATATCTTGGAATCCAGGATAAAATCACAGAGAAAATGTCAGACATCAGCAATGTTCTACTAAATCTGAAAGAAGTCACAAAGCTAAAAAAGAAATATATTGATGTCATTAAAATGATACATAGAGAAGTTATTATGGTAATATACAGGGCTGGGCAAAAGTAGCTTTATAGCTCTGAGTATGAAAAACCTTTGGTTTGCATTTTTTTTAAAGAAAGCCACAAATAGAATACAAAACAAATCTTTGCTATGAGGTTTTGCGTTGTTGTACTTAACCACCAGGGGACAGAAGTATTTATTATTTTGCTTCAGTTTCATCTATACTATGGGTACACTGGGAAGCAAGTTTATTTTGGACAGTTCTTGTTATCTCCCTAAGAACACAATGTGGGTATGCCTGATACTCCAGTGAATAAAGTAAATTCCACTCTTGAGTGTCCCCTCTGTCCAGCTAATGTTGCAGACATGGGAGATGCGCCATCTCTAAGCCTCACAATAACCCAGCAGAGATGGGTATGTTTATCCCCAGTTTTCAGATGAGCAGACTGAGGATAGGAGAAGGTGAAGTCACTTGTCCAAGCTCACACCTGCTGTAATGTATTGTCAGAATGGGATGGGTGCTATGGCCAATATCCAGGTGAGGAAGGGCAATCTCCCATTAGCAGGCAAACTGCCTCTCTCCTTACCGATGCCTCCTTGGTGTTCGTCTCTTCTGATGCTGACTTGGCGACCTTCTGAATGATGGGGGCGATGTTGGTGGGACCATAGAGTTGGAGCTTCGGAAGGCAGCTCTGATAGGCTTCCACAACTCCTTGAATTCCTAAGGTGAAGTTGGCAAAGATCAATAGTTCAGGAGTCTCCTCAAATAAATTTGTAATCAAACACACACATAGATAAAGCATTAAATTCGCCAAATGTCCTCCTAACATCACATTTATGTTCTTAAGATAAAAAATACCACACTGTTGCCTCCACTCCCACTGAAATAATTCTCTTTAAAGGCTTAATTAAAAAGCAATCCTTTCCATCAACCTTTCCCTAATATCCTACTTTACACATAAGATTTTATTAGATTCTCATAGTGTAATGAAATAGATGTTATGCCCATTTTACAGGTGAAGAAACTGAGGCTTAGAGAGGTTACATGATCGATCCCAGGTCACACAGCAAATGAATTACAGACTCAGGATTGAAAATAGGTCTGCCTGGCTCTGAGGGCTGTGCTCTCAGCCATTAGGCAGGTCAGCTTTAAGACCTCTCCAGTTTTTACAATACCTTGTTGACTCTGCTGTAGTATATACCACCCTATTCCACTTATAGGAGTCACGTGTGACCATCATTCCAGATATTAAAGTCCTTGGGGACAGGTATTGTGACTCAATCCCTCAAAGATCTTGAGGCAGGTCAGGCACAGCAAGTGTGTGATGAATGAGCAAAACAGCTGACAGTGTTGTCTGCTGGGGACTGTAGTACAGATGAATGACATTCATCATTATGGCCAACCTCTCACTTAAAGGGGGTTTCCATCCTGAGCCCACGTGACCCAAGGAAATAGTAAAGGGTGAGACTCTGCTGGAAGGAACAGTCCCGATAGTGTAGCTTCTCCTAGCATTTTAGGAGTCTTGCCTGAACATTTAATGTTATGCCCACGATCCCACAAGAGTCCCATTACTAATGAATTGTATTCAAACGGCTCCTCTTGGTGTCTGCGCCTGTCTTAGCTCTTGCCCATATCCCTTTCTATCCTAAAACAGCACACTGGTCCTGTTTTTGGCCAGAGGGATCCACAGAAGCCCCTCCTGAAATGGGGTTCCACATCCACCATGCATGCAAACCAGATCTGGGATGTTCTGGATGAGCAAGTTCTGTGTTCTGCCCTTAGACCCATGCTTCCAACCGACTGAAAATGCTGCATCCTCTCTGCCCTGCCCCAGAGCCGGTCCTTCTAAAGACAAACATCATATCATTTTGCAGCTTGGTTGTGAAGTCAGGTGACATTCAACAGACACTCTTTATCTATTTTGACTCTTGAGTTTTTGCCCAAGATAAGCACGTTGGATTTCTCTTTAAAAAGTAACAGGCAGATAAATTCTGAGAGTATGAAATAGGCAAATGCTGGGCATGTATTTTGTTCTGCTTTGGTGAAAAACCATTCTTATAGTTTAAGAATGGGGGCAGTTAGGGATGAGTGGACTCTAAACCATAATAAATTTAGGGTGAAGGATCACGAGAGGGAATAATGGCAGAACGGAGACTGGGTCTCAGAGGTTACTATGTGCACACCCAATGACATTGATGTCACATTCTTAGACAGGAAGTGCCGAATTGGTGAAAGAAATTGCTGGATGCTCCACACACCTCACTGGATCTGAATGAACCCTGGTTCAGCCCCTTTCCTCCATGACAAGAAGGAGAGAGATATGGACATTTCTACCCATTTCACTATAAAAAATATCTTATAAGTTTCATAGCAACTGGTGAACTTATCTCTATTTGTGATTTAGGAAGCAGGAAAAATAATTTTAGGGTAAAATTTATCATAATAGTTGTCATCATCATTTCATCATCATTACTTTGCAAGAATTGTGTTGGAGAAATTCTAGCTGGAAATAGTGGAACATGGACCAAAGCCTTTGAGAAGGCTATTTCTGGCACAAAACCATGAAGCTGCTTGTTGGAAGTCACTGCGGCCATATCCTTTACCAACATGCTGAAGGTGTCAAATGATTTTCATGTCCTCCCCTGATCCCCTACTTATACCCTCACAGAGAGGAAGTTGTGGGAAAGAAATACTTGAGGAAAAGTTGGAGACCAGAGCGAGGGGTATCATCACGGCCCATCAAGTGAATTTCCCCCCGTGTTTTTTGGCGAGAGGAATCCAGAATGGGGATCAACATTGTTACTGTAAACTCAAGACCTCTTCTTCATCCTGTCTTTTCCAGCTCTTAGTTTTCTGCTGTCATTATGGCTCTCTGTTGCCTTTAGAGAAGCATGGTCTATTTGGATCCAGAAGGCCTACTCCTCTGCTGTGGCCAATGATCACTGACAGACTGCATCGGAGGAGAGAGACTAACATGGGAAACGTGCAAACAAAAGAGCTGGGAGACCCCGGCTTCCTTCACCTGGTAACTTACCTGCACATTCTGGGTTGTCTTCATTAAAGTTGATTGCGAAGTCATGAGAGACCTAGACGCCAATTAAAATTATAAAAAGGAAGGAAGGAGAATTACAACTTTAATCCAGGAAGGAGGCACAGGGTGGAAGAGTCTGCAAACAAATGCTCATTCCATTCATTAGGTGTCAAGCCGCAGGAACCATTTTAAGGCTTCACAGAGACAGTCTGAGATGGAGGGTGAATTCTAAGCTCCCCGTGGAGCTGAGGTGACAGGAAATTTTTCTAGAATCAGATAAATGCTGGCAGGAGGGGAGAATAATGTATATAAAAAATGCCAAGATAAGAGTTCAGAAAAAAAATGTAATCCCAGAAACAACTGGCCATAGACTCGGGGCTTAGATTGGGCTGAGCTCTGCTTGGACCCAGTGATCTAAAAAAAAGGTACCTTGTCACCCCGTTTGCTCAAAGTGGTGATGGTTATAATAGCTCCCGCTAAGCTGTTGACATTTAAAACTCATTCTAACATACTATGCAGAGCTATAGGACAGGAGGATTTGCCCATATATGCAGGTAAAAGAGACTCTACTTTTAGAAAAGTGATACAATCACGATATCTTGTAATATTCCAACACAGATTCCTCTACCTGCCAGGACCTATCACAAGGTGACATGTTCACTTCTTTCTTTCTAAAATCTGGTTAAACAGGAGGGCTGTCCTGGCACCTGGACATTATGGGATCATTTGGGATTTTACAGAGACTCCCATTTCAAATGTTATTTCCAAGCCCTGGCTCCCTTGGGGGCTAGAAAATGGTCATTAGTTATTGTGTTAAAAGACCCCTCTTCTCTTTGTGGGAGGTCAGAGCCGATGCTGTTGGTGCCTGGCCCACATTCCCCTGCCCTTGGCCCGCCCAGGCAAGTCAGCTGACTTCCTTCCATTTTACTGGCTTTATTTACCTCAAGTTTTCTCCGGTCTCCAGAGCCTGCTTTTTAAAAATTTAATATATTTTTATTGATTTCAGAGAGGAAGGGAGAGGAAGAGGGAGTTAGGAACATCAATGATGAGAGAGAATCACTGATTGGCTGCCTCCTGCACACCCCCCACTGGAGATCAAGCCTGAAACCCAGGCATGTGCTCTGACCGGGAATTGAACCGCGACCTCCTGGTTCATAGGTAGACAGACACTCAACCACTGAGCCACACCAGCTGGGCTCCAGAGCCTGCTTTTGGCAGACTAAAGGTGTTGAGAATTAATGTCGCTCATGAGCAGCCCTTCCTTAGTGGCTGACAGGACTTGGTGTATCAGTACCCAGCCCACCTATCCTTGGGGTCTGTGTGTGTTCCACAGTGTCTTCAGGGTCCCCAGCAAGATTCAGCTCCACTGCCCACAGAGCTAACTGACTTGTTAGGATTCCCTATGTCCACTTCCTCTCACTTCCTCATTCTCTATTGAGGTTTCCTCCACCTCTCAAATAATTGCATCCCAATCCTCCTGTCTTAAGGTCTATTCTAGGGAGAGTATAGGCAAGCTCTGAGGTTTTTCCCAAAGAAGCAAATCTCAGTGACCTTATAAACTTGCTTGGGGCAACCAGCTGCTGAGACCATCAGTGTCTGTCTGGGGCAGAGGGAAAATTAGGCCTGGAGCAGAGTGAGGAGATGTGAGGGAAGCCTGTTAGGACAACAGGAGGAATAAGCTGGCTGAAGGCATGGTGAGCATAAGGACTTCAAGGAACATCAAAAAGGATAAGTTACACCAGGAGCAGGACCAGGCAGATGTCATGGATGAGAAAAGGAAGGCCTGGAACAAGGTGTTCTCAGCCCTACTGGGCCACCTGAGACCAGAAGACTACCAGGTGGGAATGTGGTGGGGGATGCTCCAGCATCTCTTGGTATTAGGACTGATGGTTGTTGATGTGCATTCCAGTCTCGAGGTGCAACAGTCCAACACCCACCTGACTACATTCCGGAGCTGATATCCGACCTGAAGGGGACTGTAGCTCTTCAGCTCTGCCCAATTCTGGTTGTATAATCTCTCTCTCTTTTTTAAAATTTAAATTCTTTATTGTTTAAAGTATTACATAAGTCTCCTTCCTCCCCTCCCGATACTAGAGGCCCGGTGCATGAATTCGTGCATAGGTGGGGTCCCTAGGCCTGGCAAATCAGGGCTGGGCCAATTGGGGCCTGCTGGCCGGGGGAAGGAACAAGGAGCAGGAGGTTGGCCAAGGCCCCAAGGAGAGAGCTGGCCCTGGATCCCTGGGACCCACTGCCACCCACTTCCAGTTCCCCATCCCAGCCAGGGGCCCGAAGGCCCTGGTGGGGTCAGAAGAGGAGGCAATGGTCACCGGGTTGGGCACGGAAGGAATGGACACTGGATGCCGACACGGCCGGCCATGGGAGGTTGGCTGTGGGAGTGCACTGACCACCAGGGGGCAGCTCCTGCATTGAGTGTCTGCCCCCTGGTGGTCAGTGAGGGTTATAGTTACTGGTTGACTGGTCGTTCTAGTCATTCAGTAGTAAAGGTCGCTTAGGCTTTATATATAGATAGATAGATAGATATGCATAACCCATGAACACGAAAAATAGGGTGGTAAAGGCCTGGGGCAGGGGGTAGGGGGCAGGGGTGGGCTAGAAGGAGTCAATAGAGGAAAAACGGGGACATACGTAATACTTTCAACAATAAAAATTTAAAAATTAAAAAAAAAATTTGTATGTCAACTATCATACATTTGTGGCCCAAATAATGTCTACAGGCCACCAGTCGACAACTCCTATTCTGTATTCTTCCTCCCCATGTGCTCTATTTTCAACAAATGCTTCTAGAATTCTGTAGGCATGCCCAGCAGGGAGGCCAGGGGGGAATACAAGGCAGACAAGGAGGACAGGTCAGGGGACATGCCATTCCATCTACTGTTCTCTCAGCAGTCACAGGGAGAGGGATTCTCTCTTTCAAAAAGGGCACAGAAGGGGAAGGGCCTTGGTCTGACAGCTCTGGTGTGGGAGTAAATGTTGCCATCTGACTCTTGCCATGCAACTCAGATACAGCCAGTAAAAGAGAAGTTGTGATTAGACAGTGTTGCCTGCACTTAACTTGGACCTCAGAGGCCTGAATGAGGCTGGGGTAGGAACCCTGCTGCCCCTCCAAGGCCCTCCCACCTGGGGAGTGAGTTCTCTGTAGAATGTCCCACAGGAGCATCTGGTATACCACAATAGGGTGCATATCTCTCTTTGCACAATCTTTGCCTTCTCTGAGTCATGGAAATAAGTATTAAAACCAAATTAGTTTGATGATTGTGGGGGTTAGGGTTGGGGGTGGAAGAGGGTATAGGGGGGATAAATGATGATGGGAAAAATAAAATAAAGAGGAAAACAAAAGAAAACATATCCTAAAAACAACAACAAAACCAAATAGGATTCCAATGCCCTCATAGGAAGCTTTTAGTTTCTCAATTTTCTAAGCCAGAGTGGTTCTATCTTAGGACTTTTCTGTGTCTCTTACACAAGACTGGTGCTCAGAGAGCTGGGATGAGGGGGTCTGTGGACTTCATTGTCATGGACTGCCTCAGTTGGTATTATCAATAGGATCTTCCTCTAGAGTAGCTGTTCTCAACCTGTGGGTCGCGACCCCTTTGGGGGTCAAACGACCCTTTCACAGGGGTCTCCTAAGACCATCGGAAAACACATATATAATTATATGTTGTTTTTGTGATAAATCACTATGCTTTAATTACGTTCAATTTGTAACAATGAAATTGGGGGTCACCACAACATGAGGAACTGTACTAAAGGGTCGCGGCATTAGGAAGGTTGAGAACCACTGCTCTAGAGAATAGCTGAATAGATATGTTTTGAGCCACCGAAGATCAACGTCCTGAGTGTTTTCTCCATACCTGTAGGAAGCTAAGCAATAAATACTTTTATTTGGACCGCTGAGAGGAACAATCAGAATACCAGGAGATTGGGTTTTATCAAAAGACAGGGTCTGAGGACCTAATCTCATGGGTTCTGAAGACCATTTCTGAGTCTTTGGGCCCTAGTTACATAATTACATCGAGGGCCAAAGGACAGAGACTCCTGGGAAGGAAACTCAAATTATCCTTTGGCGACAGCAAAGCATCTCTACTCACTCACCGTGTACTCTGGGGGTATCCTGGCACCAAATCCAAAGGCTGGGAACATTTTGTCACTGAAATAAAGAAAAGAAGTTGCTTTATTTATCATCTAATGAGGAAGAAAAACATGAACCTGCATCACCTCATCCGGGATGTGGCTATGCCAGGTGCTGACTCATGCTTCTTGATTATGTGTGGTGATAGGCAATAGCTTGGATAATTAAAATCAAGGAATCATCCTCAGAGTTCATTCCTGCCATTAGTCTGCAACTTCTTCCTTACTTTTTGCTAGATTTGATACCGAGGAGTGAAGTGGCCCCAGGATTTCCGTCCCTCTCCTCCCCCAGTATTCTGTCTCCTTTGAAAAGATCATGAACGAGGTGACTCCTATGGTTGACTGCTAGATATATGCTATCTTTTTAAATCGTTTCAGGGAGAGATTATTATTCCAGTGGGGAAATGCCTTGGGAAGTGAAATCCAAGATCATGCTGCTAGTTAGAGCCAGGGTTCAAATTCAGACAAGCCTGAATCCACAGGGCTATTAAAAAGCTTGACAGAACTTGGTTTCATCTACAGAACTCATTCTATCCACTTCTTTATCTCATACAAGCAGCAATAAATTGTTTACATGTCTTTTCTTGTCTCCTGAATTCAAAGGAATGCTGTTTTTTTTTTGTATTCATATCTTTATATTTCTACTGCCTCCCTCCCTCAAATTGCCCCTTGTTCCTACCTTCAGGATAATACTTGTCATAGATTGTGTGCTCAATAAATATTTAATGATGAGATAGTGCATGAATTGAATCATTAAGATGTGGCCATATAAAGAAGAAAATATTCTTGCTAAAACCTGAGTCACGTATATGTCTTTTGGCTTGGTTTCTCTTATACAATTTGAAATTTCTCCCAATTTATTCATTTGTGTATGTGATATCTTAACTCTTAACTATGCTAGGCAATGCATGTACTTATTTAATTTTTAAGCAACCCCTGAAGTTTCACCTACTTAATATTCCCATTTTACAGATGAATAAACTGAGTCTCAGAAAGACTAAGAAAGTCTCAGAAACCCTAAGGTGCTTCCCAGGGAGGATTGTGTGATTCCAAAACCCATACTTTTTCTACTATGCCATTATAATGTAATGGTTATATACAGCATTAAATATGATTTCCTTCTGTCACTTCTAGCAACAAGCCCATCTTCCCCCACCAGATAACAAATAAGATTATCCTTCAGCAAATTTGTGCTGTCAGAGGATTGTTGCAATAGGGGCTCTGGCTTATTGCTCTTGTCAGAGGGCGTGTCCTCCTCCTGCCATTTCCCTCGTACTTTCTCTGCCATTAAAAAACAATTCCCTCTTGTCTGAGTTCCTTGTAGTTGACAAGAAAAGAAAATCCAGGGTAGTTCTCAGTGTCCCTGAGCACCTCTGTAAGCAAAAGGGACCCTCCTAGCCCCTGAGGCTGATGGAGAAGTCAGATTCTCACCCATCCCCTACCTGTCTGATTTAAAGATAATTAGCAGCCAATAATGGCTTTGATAAAACTTTACCAAAACACAGCCAGTTTGATCAAATTTCAGGATGCAAGGAAGCCAGAATTCTTTGAAATCGAAGTCTAAATTCTCTGGAAAATCACCAGCTCCTCTTTTTTCCTCACTGTTGTGTAGATATGAGCTTTGTGGGACATTGCATCTAGTGTGTATTAGAAAAGGTATTAATGCGGATAAATGAAAATTCACAACAGCTTATAAAGGATTAGCCACAGCTTTGAGAAAAAAAAAATACTTCTGGTCCTTGGAAATACTTGGCTTCAGCAATTCGTCCTTACCCTCAACAAGGGCGAGGAGGTGTGGGAAGGAATGTGTCTGGGAATTTCAGAGGTATTTTCTAGGTAAGTCTGGAAGAAAGCTTTCCTGGAGGGAGGATGTATCCTGGTTCTTCAAACTCCCAAAAGGTTCAGAGTCAAAACAGAGACACCTAGAGGGCACCACACCCTTTATTTTCTTCTCTAACGAGTTTAGGAGAGGTGTGACCCAATATTCCATCCATTTCTTTTCCATTTGTTTTTGCATTGATTTTTAGAGAAAGTAGAAGGGATGGGGAGAGATAGAGAGAGAGAAACAATGGTGTGAGATATAAGAGAGACACATTGATTGGACAGGGCTGGGGATTAAGACTACAACCGAGGTACATATCCTTGACTGGAATTGAACCTGCAACCCTTCACTCCATGGGCTGACACTCTATCCACCGAGCCAAACCGGCCAGGACTTCCACCCATTTCTAATCACTAAACCAGTGTTCTAGCCTTAATGACATTCCTTTTTTTTTAAAAAATATATTTTATTGATTTTTTACAGAGAGGAAGGGAGAGAGATAGAGAGTTAGAAACATCGCTGGGAGAGAAACATTGATCAGCTGCCTCCTGCACACTCCCCACTGGGGATGTGCCCGCAACCCAGGTACATGCCCTTGACCGGAATCGAACCTGGGACCCCCCAGTCCGCAGGCCGACGCTCTATCCACTGAGCCAAACCGGTTTCGGCAATGACATTCCTTTATACCTTCTAAGCCACCCAGGGGAATGTGAAGTTTGCTGAGCATGATGTACTGTTGTTATGTAACTGAGTGAAGAGTGGGGAGGTAGAAAAAAATGCCTCGCCTACAAGAGAAATAATTAATGAGCCAGGAGGACAACAATTCTCTGAAGTTAGCCATCACAAAGACTCTAGCTAATAAACACACTAAAGGAAAAATTTCAAGCCTACGCACAATGGATCCGAACATTGCTCTTCCAGATTAAAAGCAAAAACTTGGCATAGAGGAGTCTTATGTAAGAGGCAAGGGAAGGCAAGTTGCGCACATAAGTGAGCATCAGCAGGGCCAGCACGTCAGAGAACTTGAGCCCTCGCTGGTGTGGCTCAGTAGGTTAGGCGTCGCCCTGTGCATCAGGGGGTTGAAGGTTTGATTCCAGGTTGATGTTTCTCTCTCTCTAAAAAATCAATTTTTAAAATCTTAAAGAAAAAGAACTCGAGATTGGATCCACTCAGTATCGAGTGAAGGGGGCCATTTAGCAACTATTGGGAAAATGATTGGTGAAACCTGACAATATGGAAAATTCAGGGGCATAGCACCACATTGGTAAAGGCAATAGTTCTTACTATTGGGATAAAATAGTACAAAATGCACTAAAAGAGTCTGTGGTCTGCAATGCTAGTGAGCCTGCTGTCCTGAACTTCCTAGGGCAGTGGTTCTCAACCTGTGGGTCGCGACCCCTTTGGGGGTCAAACGGCCCTTTCACAGGGATTGCCTAAGACCCTCCGAAAACACATATGTAATTACATATTGTTTTTGTGATTAATCACTATGCTTTAATTATGTTCAATTTGTAACAATGAAATTGGGGGTCACCACAATATGAGGAACTGTATTAAAGGGTCGCAGCATTAGGAAGGTTGAGAACCACTGTCCTAGGGAATGGTCATGGTCTCTAGATGTAAGATTCATTCTCAACCACCATTTTCACCTTCCCTGTTAGGAAGGGTTTGAGATAAAGGAAGAGGTTAATAAAAATAAGGAGAAATTAGTGCAAGAGAAAATGGAGATGAACTCAGAGCAAATGGCATTACAGAACACCTAGACATTTAATAAAACAGTGGTTTTAAAACTGGGGTACATGGGAAGGTGGAAATGCAAAGTCCTACTGTGGATATGAGAGTATTTTTTTTTTTCCTTTTAAGGAAATCAGTGTTCAGTTTCTCAACTTCCCTATGTATTCTTTGCTGAAATTATCTTCTGGGAAAACCTGTGATGGAAAGACCTATTCTCTACTCCCACCTTCCCTTTCACAATTACCCTTCTCCTTCACCCATTCTGAATCTTAACCACCACGGTGCCTTGTTCCAGCACTGTGGTGATTAAGATTCAGAATGTAAAAACCTCTACAGCAGCGGTTCTCAACCTGTGGGTCGTGACCCCTGAAAATACATCCTGCCTATCAGATATTTACATTACTATTCATAACAGTAGCAAATTACAGTTATGAAGTAGCAACGAAAATAATTTTATGGTTGGGGGTCACCACAACATGAGAAACTGTATTAAAGGGTCGCGGCATTAGGAAGGTTGAGAACCACTGATCTACAGGAACAATTCTAAATGAAAATGATTCACTAGGAAACAAATCCTTTTGCAAGTCAGGTAGTTGCCAATTTTTGCTTTAAAAAATTGTAAGAGGTGCTGATGTCAGATGGTAGGTGGTTAAAAATATATTTTGCTAACAGAACATTATATGATTTTTGATATATAACTTAGAATTGAATAGTACTTCTAGTAAAACTCTTTCCATTACCACATACTTATTTATAAGAACAAGTTTCTTTAGCATTCACATCAATAAAACAAAATTTGGATTAAAATTGACACTAGATTTTCCCATTCTAGTAATAGTTGGTATTCATCTACAGATTAGTAAACTAATGAAAAAAACCCAATCTGTTTCATTAAGAGTTTTTATAGGCAATACTTAGATATTAAAATTTGTAACATATTTATGTTCTTTTGATGAATTGTGTACTAATAATGATTATAGTAAAAACTCAACTAGAAGATGTTTTTAAATATTTTGAATATTTTCATCACAGGAAATTTAAAAATTTATATTCATATATTTACGATAGAAATGCATGATATAGTGATCAATAAAAGAATTTCAAAACAAAATTTGGGGAACATTATGATGAAATCCTGTGGGGGAAGAAATGGAAATATGAGTTCACGAGAAAGAAAGAACAAGGTTCTCAACTCAAAATGGAAAGCTTGTTCATGCATTTTAAAATGGATGACGGTGGGTATCAAATAGCTATGGCATTAGATTCTCCTGGACGCATTCACAAAGTTATATAAGAATTTTGTTTTAAATGTCCATATTTATAATACACTAGAATTTTCATTCTTTGTCGCTATTTAAACTCATGGTGGAAAACATTAGATTTCAATGTAAAAATGTGTGAAGGTTATGTATTTTTATAAAATTCTTTTTTAGGGGTGAGTGTGTGTGCACATACAAGCCAATTTTTTAAAGGTCATTGGTCCAAAATTACCTTTATATTTGACACACTAGTTCTTTTCCCTGTTGTGTATGGTTTATTTTTAAAAAATAAATTAAGAGTAGTTAAGATAATAGCCTCTATTATTTATTGAATATTTACAACAGGCTAGCTACTTAATTTTATTCTTTTTGCTAAATAAATTTATTTTTCAAAATCTTATTTTCCAATTAGAGTTGACATTTGATATTTTTTTATACTAGTTTCAGGTGTACAGCATAGTGGTTAGACAATTGTATAACGTATGATCCCCATGATAATTCAAGTACTCACCTAGTACCATATATAGTTATTTCAATATCATTGACTATATTTCCTATGCAGAACTTCACATCTCTGTGCTAGCTAATGACTTAATATCTAATCCTTACAACTGCTCTGAAAGGGAAGTTAGATAAATCTTCAATTTGCAATCAAGGAAACCAAGGCCTGGGGAATGTCAACCTACGGAGAATAGAGGCAGCAGAGCTGGGGTCTGAGCCCAGGTCCACCTGTCACCAGGACCCAATGCTCTTTCTATCACTTCTATTGACTACCCTTCCCGGGAAGCTTGGTCTGGTCTAATGGCTCAGAATAACAAGAGTAAGTTCATCCATGTTCTAAAAGCAACAAAGGACAGAATTAGCAGAATTCACCGCCATCCCCAGGAGGCCCTCCTTGACCACCTTCCCACAGAAGAAAGAGCTAACCCCCCCCTCCTCACGCAGTCCCCATTCTAACAAGGGACAACGCTGCTCTGGCCACGCTGGACTAGGATTTATTTACATGCCTTTCTCTCCCATGAGATTGTGAACCACTTGGGGGAAAACTGTTCTTTCATTCATTTCTGTCTGGCTTTATGGCCCCACATGAGGTGCCTGCACCTAGAAGGTCCTGCACAGGCTCTTAGCCATTCCAGTGGACCCATCTCTCCTGACCGAACTCTGGGTCTCAACTCTGGATACCCGTTAGAATGAAAACTCCTGATTCCCCAGGATGCACGCCAGCCTAACTAAACCAGAGTCTCTAGGCCGGAGTCAAGGCATCAGCATATTTTAAAACTCCCCGAGTGGTCCCAGCGTGCGGCCATGGTTGAGAAGCACTGACTGGAGTTGGTAGGATGGAAAAGGTATCACTATGGTCTTAATCTGCCTTCTGATTTTTATCCCTGTCCTCCACACTCCAAACCCGCTCAGATTGGCTTTTAGTTCTAACCTTGCCTCCTTGTACTGCACCCAGCACATCGTGGAAGAAGCCTGCTGCCTCGATTTCTGATGTCCTTGTCTCATTCTGGGGCGGCCACATCTATAACATGGCAGTCTGTACTTCCAAGCAATGCATTCAGTGCCTATATTCTCTTGATGGCAGATAGACCAGCCTTCTTAATAGAGGATATTGCAGGGGTCAAAGGCACATCTCAATGAGTCCAGGGGTGGATATTATCTTGGCCTTGAGCAGTTGGAGGAGACCAGGTTGTTGACAGGAACTGGGCAAGTGCTACAACCAGCTGGGAATATATGAGCTGTGCGTGTGTGCATGCATGTGCGCGTGCGTGTGCACTTGTGCACATGTGTGAATGTGTACAAGTGCATATGTGTACAGGTGTGTGTGTGTGCCTGTGTACATCTACGTACATGTACACGTGTGTGCCTATGTGTGCTTGTGTTTGTGGTGTCACCTAGGAGAGAATGAATGGTGGTGTCTTCCAGGGGCGCAGACACAGAATAGGCTGGAAGGATTGCCTTCTGGGTTTGAGGACCAGACATCTGGAAGGAGCTGTCCCTCAAGGCCACCCCGAGAAGAGCTTCTGCAATTCTCTGGAGCTGTTCTACTTCACGGATCACCTCGTAAGGACCTGTTAGCAATGACTGTACAAGACAGAAAGAAACCCCTTGGCTGTCAGAGGCTGGGAGGAATTTCTAAGGCTCCTGGGGATTAAAAACCTCTGTGTCACTGCAGGAGGGGGAACAGTGCCTTCTGTCAGTTTTTGTGCAAGTGTTTCTTTTTGAGCATCAACCCCACTGACTTTGATGTGAGAAAAAAATAATTCCAAAGCCCAGACTTGAAATTCCCTGACTCTGCCTGTCTCCTGCCTATCCGCCCACACAAAGGAGAAACTGCGGGCACTTGTCAGTTTTCAAGGGAGCAGCTTGCTTTACACAGTCTGCAGGAGTCTTTGCAAAGAGTGCCCAGGCTTTTCAATCCTCCTTTTCTTCCTTAGGCGTTTGTTCATTTTTAGGCTGAGATGACACATACATATGCATATATATGTGATCCACTGAACCAATTTTCTTGGCCAGTTGGGGCCCATAACTTTAGTATTATCCTATTAAGGTGTTAAAAAGAATCACGATTTTTCACATAACCCCTAAGGTGTCAGATCTTATTTTTGTTCTGAATCTGTTATTTTGAAGGAATGCAAAATGCTCCCCAGACTCTGTCTGGCTCACATTATAAAGGGATAACAGCTCTAAAAGGTGTTCGGGTCACTCCAATTAGATTCTCCACATCTGGCCTGCCAGGCGATCGAGGAAACAGAGAGGTTTAAGATCTTGTTCCAGATCACCCAGCAAGACTGCCAGGAGCCACCGTGAGGGTGCTGGCCGGCGGCATCTGACTTTCAGACAACCCACCAGCCTTCTCTTTGGAATTCATTTTCACACAACCTTCTCCCCTACCGAGTCAGAGTCAGCTCTATTATTAAGCACATGTTGTTTGACACATGTACCAAGTGCATTTATCTACTTTATTTCTTTTATAAGCATTTCAAGAATTTAAAAGTTATTAAGATTCCTGAAGATATTTCCTCCCTTTCTCCTTATCTTTTATGTACATATTATTATCCTAGATTATTTGTGTGTGTGCTGGGAGAAAGTGACAGAGAGAGACAGAAAGAAGGGTGAGAATTACTGTTTTGGTGTGCTGACTGTTTAGGAAGTTTCTGACAATGGAGATGCAACTTGTCAGTCTTTTCTTTCTTCCTTTCTTTTTGGTAGAAATCTCCATATGCTATGAATCTCTTTAGGGATCCTCCCTGTATTTGGGTCTATGGAAATGAGAGCTGAAAATCAAGTTATCTTCACATTCACTAGCTCAAGATTAACTATAAAAAATATCACTTCAATAAGGTCATATAAATGCTGTTGCTCTCTGTTCTAAATGTTTAGGAGGGCAAGTGTCAGCAAGAGCCCATGTATTTAAAGCTCTTTTTATTTACTTTTTAAAAATTGATTTCAGAGACAGGAAGGGAGAGATAGAAACAGCAATGATGAGAGGGAATCATGCCCCCTACTGAGGATCGAGCCTGCAACCTGGGCATGTGTCCTAACTGGGAATCGAGTGCCACTGAACAACACTGGCTGGGCTGTTTAAAGCTCTTTGATTTTATTGGACTCTCCATTCATTCCCAAACTCCCCTCAGGCCCATCTGAGTGGGCAATGATCCTGCCAAATCCAGAGACTCGCCTGCAGGAAGGACACTGGTGGGACCTGTCCCATTACCTGTCCTATTGGTTTTTGGCTTGTGCCATTTTCTACGGTGCCTGCGCTCATCGTTTTTTTTTTTAAAACATGGTTATCGTTAATTATGAGACTAGACAGAACAGAAATCATGCTGCCCCCTAAATTTTCTCTGAAATTGGAGGATAGGATTGCTTTCATTATTTTCCTGGCTTAAAGGGTCATTTAGTTGCTGCTCCTTATTAACTAGGTTTGTTTTATAATCACAACAGGGAGTCACCGGGGATTTACCCATATTTATATTTACATTGGTTCTACTTCAAAAAGCTTTCTTGAACAAACACATGGACAACTTAATCTCAACCTGAAAATGCTGGAAATGCAGAATAAATGCAATTTAATGTAATTTATGTAAATAACTTCTTATAGGGAAGTATCTTAGTGGGAAAGGTCAGTATTTACCATCAAGTAAAAATAAATATAATATTCATCTGATCTCAAAATAATGTTTCCTACAACACACACACACACACACACACACTTGATCAGCACATATAGGTGTACGTGGGTAGACGCATACCCTCTGCTAAAGTTACCAATATCTGTAGAGGCCAGTGAAATACAATGATTGTGTGGTTAAGCTATGGAGTGAGATAACTCTGGGTTCAAGTCCCGCCTCTGGCTGTGGGACAATTTCCCTTTTCTGTTAAGTAATACCTACTACATCGGGGCTAATATGAGGACTAGATGCAATAATGTCCAATAAACAGCTGTTTTTCAAGCTCAAAAGTGCACTCAAATCATCTGGCTAGCTTGCTAAAATGCAGATCCTAATTCAGTAGACTTGAAATGAGGTTTGAGCTTCTAAACTCCAAGGGGATGCTGCTAGTTCATGGACCAAACTTTGAGGAGCAAGGCACACATTAAAACGTTGGGAAACCAACATTGCTATCCAGTGGTTTTGCAAACCAATGAAAGAAATCTGAGAAAAATAATATTTTTTTTCAATAACTATAGTGAACATCGCACGGACTTACTTTCTCTAAGTTTGGGGCAAGGTTTTATTCTGTCCCTGCATGAGCCTCTGTGTGATGAGTTGCTAGATTTAATTTGCATTCTTCTGCCAGGGATCAGCCAGGGGTCCTCAGAACCCACAGAGGCCTGAGCCCACCCAAAGTCTCATACCTGTCATAGTCTTGGCAAATCTCCCCGACAGCCACCAAGGCCTTCAGGTACTCGTTGGGCTGGTAAGGGTGGATGTAGTGCAGGGAACAGCTGTTCCTGGGGTCCCCGTTGGAGGCCGTGAAGTCTATAGCGACCTAAAGAGAAAACAGGAGAATGGGTAGATTTAAAGTGAATGCACATCAGAGGAATTGTGATCAGCTGCAGAGGGACAGGGCCTGTGATGGGGAAAAAATATTGGCATGTTACATACCCTGTCAATGAGAGTTAGAGGAAAAAATTAATTAGCTTAAAAATTAGCCATTTCTGTAGTCTTCAGTACCCCCGTCCACCCACTCCCCCCACCTGCAATGCTTTCTCATCTCCCTTTCCAAAACCGAACTTGAGATTGGCATATAGGTCAGAAAGACCAGTTGCGGCTGATCCCTGTCACCAGGCAGCAAGGGCAGAATACCCTAATTCCCTAAGGAAGGACTTCTATGCTCTTTGGAAGGGCCATGCCATCTCTGAGCCATAATTAAAATCCCTTAGAGCCAAATTCTGTGTTAAAGATGCGGTCTATCTAAGGAAGCCATCGTCATCTTTTCATGAATGGCCAACTGCCGAGCGATGTGCTGAAGTGGTTCTAACACATTTTCTACAAGACGAAACTCTGTGTAAGGCATCCAGCTTTAATTCCCATTCACGGGAGAACTGCTGCCTGCAACAGAGAAGATGCCTGAATGTTATGGCACTGTGAGTGGGAAATGGAGAAGGGAAGTCTGTTTTGCCACCAAGTAGTCAATATCCTTGGACTTCTTAAATGTTTCCTGACCGCCGACATCAGTATCATTTAAATAAAAATGGACTCATCCAATACTTTATAGCAAGAATTAAAATGCTTAAGCCTTGAGGGCGCTGAACTGTGAAAGAACATTCCTTTTGATTTCCAACATCATCACTGTTTAATAAATGGGAACCCAGCAAACGCCTCTCTAAACAGTTGGGGTCTGGACAGGAAGGGAAGAATTACAATGAAAAGTTATAGAGGAAGAGAGAAATGCTCATTTAGGCCTTCCCTTTTTCTTCAGCGTTCAGCAGAATTGACTCCCTGGCTCACTAATGACAGGAAGGCTCGCTTTCTCTTACAGTCTTGTGGGCAGGAACTGTTATTTGTCTATTTGGCAAAATTCCACTAGAGAAAAATCACTGGAATGTCCCCCTGGATTTATTAAGGTAAGAAATTATTTCTGGAAGGAAAGAGAAAACGTGCTCTCTGCTCTATTTATTCAGCTTCTAAGAGTAAAGTTGACAGGGAAAAAGTGTCCCCCATGTCTTATATTGTAACCTTGCAACAGAATCAAAGTAGCTGAAAGAGACCGAGCTAACTATAATTTATTTACTTACAACCTCTTTTTTCTTTTTCAAAGTTATTTTTTAATCACTGATTTTACCTCCCTTTTCCTCTTACCCCTCCATAGGATAATTTTGAATATAAATTTAAGCAGGATTCAAATTCTATTGGCAGAATACCCAGATGTTTTCAGCAGGGAAGTACCAACTGATAAGGTGCTAGTACTACCAGTTTTTCATAAGGAAAGGTCATGTGAAGAAAAATGCAACAGTCCTTTCATGCCCCCTATAGATGCCCTTACTACAGCTAACAGAAGGAAGACTGGGGGGTAGGGTAACCTTTGTTAAATCCCTACTCTGTGTTAGACACAACGCTAACTGCTCTCCAGGCACTGTTACTTCATTTTCATAAAGGCTCTGGGAGGTAGAGATTGTTATTCCCTTTAACTGATGAAGATCCTGGTGCCCAAAGGTGATAAAGGTCACACAGGTCACAGAGGATGGAGCTGGTTTGAACGCAAGTCTATATGCTCCTCCTTTATACCAGTGTATACCTAGAGGACATGGAGGCCTGTAACCAACATCCTGAGATGTCTCATGGACATGTTTTATTCTTACCAGGAATGGAGGGGACTTGGCCTGGAAGTAGGGAGACTAGCTAGGAGGTAACTACAGTTATTTAGGGGAAAAGAATGTCCTTGAATGAACATCTCTTTGTATTCAAAACAGTTGTAAAAGGGCAATTGAAGTGTGTGTGTGTGTGTGTGTGTGTGTGTGTGTGTGTGTATGTATGTGTGCACTTGCACAACGGTGGTCAAATATGTTACTGAGGATGACTGGAGGTGACTTAAAAGGACCAGTAAAATCCAGTATCTTCTGAGATAGATTTCAACCAGAAGGTGAAAGCCAATCCATTTGGGGTGGGGGGAGAGAAAGACAACAAATCATTGTCCTTTTAATCAAGGACTGATGGCATGCTAGTTGTGGCTGTGTTTGTATGGCAGTTGGGGGTGAGATTGGGGGCTACATGTATCTGTGAACAAGAAGGAAGTGAAAGCACTCCAGAACCCACCCACAGGAACCCAACCAGACAGAGGTCCAAATATAGGCAGATAATTCCTGGAAGACTCCAAGAGGCACACTCAAGAAGTGCTTGAGAGACAGTGTTTGCAAAAAATCATATACCTGGAGGTCTCCTGAGTTTACTAAGCTCAAACACACTGGCCTTTCTGTCCTGATGAGACACAGGTAAGCCATGATGGCACCTCGCAGGTGTGTACACAGTGCTGGGAAGGCCAGGTGTAAAGCCACCTCTTTCTCTCCCACTGAAGAAAACATCTTAGAACTCCAGAGAATTGTGAAGAACCTGAGACTTTTGTTATGGAGAGAACCTTGATTCTGCTCCAATTTACCTAAAATGCAAATCATTGGCAGGTGTGGAGACTATGAATAACAAGTATCTATGGTCCACCTCATGCCTTATTATGATGATGCCCTTCATCAGGCACGTGACCACTGTCCCATGTGCTGACTACCTGACTGAGTGCCAAGGGTACTCTGTGATGGCAGAGACATGCTGGTGTCTTGATATAAAACTAGAGAATGAAATCAGGTAATATAAAGACCAGAGTGGAAAACCTCCATAAAAATGACAATGCAAGAGATATAATTGTTCCTCTTTTCTCTCCAGGTATGAGCAAGACCATCCAAACATGTGGGCAACAAGTCGCGGCATCTGAGCCCAGGTACATCACCTGAATGTGTATGCTGTGGTATTGGGAGAATGTCTAGATCAGCGGTTCTCAACATGTGGGTCGCGAGCCCTTTAGGGGTTGAACGACCCTTTCACAGCAGTCGCTTAAGTCCATCAGAAAACACATATATAATTACATATTGTTTTTGTGATTGATCACTAAGTTTTAATTATGTTCAATTTGTAACAATGAAATTGGGAGTCGCCACAACATGAGGAACTGTATTGAAGGGTCGCGGCATTAGGAAGGTTGAGAACCACTGGTCTAGATGAACACATAGATTTTGGCAATAATATGTCAAACACACACACACACACACACACACACACACACACACACACACACGGGGCTGGAACTAGGGTCAAGCAAGAGAGGCGACTTGGGAAGGCACTCATTCTCAGCTGAGCCTACATGTGCACAACCTTGAGAGGGAGTGCATCCTTAAATATTGCATCCTCAGTGCCTCTCTTGCCTCACCCTTGTCTAGCCCTGCTATGTCATTTCATTTCTACCAACTCTTTATCCTCATGCTTGGAATCATGCCCTTCTGGGTAACAAACCAGGGCAGGGCAGAAGTGATAGTGAGAAGGGGACTGTGATCGAAGAGGTGGCTTTCTACCAAGAATTCTCTGTGCCCTTTAGAGTCAGCATTAGTGAAAAGAGAACAGAGTGGAAGGTGAGGCTTATTTTAAAAAGCAACAGGGAGACTGTTAAAGATGGAATGACGCTGGGAAATAAAAGCCAGCAAATGACTGAAGAATGCCAGGATAGAAAGTGAAGAGGATTTGGTGACTGATTAAATGCGGAATTGGATGCCACGTAGGGAAATGGAGCAGCCAGATTTCCTTGGGGATGGAGGCGCTGACATCTTGAGGGCAGTGGAACAACTGAAGATCAGTGTTAGATGGTTGGAACTGGGCTGTCTGTACTTGGTGGTGCTGTCCAGACATACAACATACCTGAGGGGAATTTTTCTCCTTTACTGCAGGCAGGCCTCTGGGGTTTCCACGTTTCCCTTGGGGATGGCCCCCATGTCTGACAACCACAGAGGCTCCTCAGGAAATTCTGATAAAGCTTTGGGGCAGGGGTATAAACTTAAACCCTACCTAGTGGATAAAGAAAGAAACCAGTGATCCTTACCACCTACCCCATTCTGTGGTTCCCATTGCTCACAACAATATTTTATCATTTGACTAGACAGCAGTGGACACTCTTAAGTACATGGCAGTTAATAATTTTTTCCTGGTAAGTGACGATTTCTAAAGCCTCCTGGTGGAGTGGGAGATAAAATATCTATCGCCAGGAGGTGGCTTTCTACCAAGAATTCTGTGCTCCCCAGAGGCAGCATTAGTGAAAAGAGAACAGAGTTAACGGTGAGGTTTATTTTTAAAAGCAACAGGGAGACCGTGAAAGATGGGATGGCGTTGAGAAATCAAAGCAAGCAAATGACTGAAAAATGCCAGTTTGTGGAGGCGGCTACTGGACGCCCGGTGCCCTGAATGGAGTGAGCTTGCAGAGCACCACTTTGTCATTTTCGGATGGGAAACATTTATTGACAAAAGCCTATGGTTGCTGGTATGCTCTCCAATCTTCTCAGTGGGCAGCCCGAGAACAGGCGCCCGCCCATGACTCTCCCCTTCTGCCCAGGAAGCCCGCCCCCCCCACCTCCCCCCTCCCCTGCCGCCTGCTCCAGTCCTCCTCTCTCTCATCAGTAAGCAGAGCTGTGGAGCTGCTTGGCAAACCTGGTAGAGTAGAATGCAAAATGCTCCCTCCGTGGCACCAAGCCCCCAGCACCTGGAGCTGCTTTCCAGAAGGGAATGATGACACTGTGTCTTTGGATTTTTAAAAATTTCTTAATGTAATGAGCCTACTCCTTGGATCCCCTCCCTGTATGTGAAAAATGGGCCATTTGGGACCCCTCTGGATGTTTTCTAAGGGAAACTGTGGTGAAGTAACCTCAGCAGTTGCCTAATTTCTCTGCAGTCAACCACGCAGTCAACCTTTGCAATGACACCTGCTGGGGTAGCTTTTTTCAAATTTTATTCGTACGC